AGCACTGTTTACAATAGCAAAGACCTGGAACCAACTGAAATGCCCATCGATGATAGACTGGACAGGGAAAATGTGGCACATATACACCATGGAATATTATGCAGCCATCAAAAATGATGAGTTTGTGTCCTTTGTAGGGACATGGATGAACATTGAAACCATCATTCTCAGCAAACTGACAGAAGAGCAGAAGATCAAACACTGCATGTTCTCACTCATAGGCGGGTGTTGAACAATGAGAACACATGGACACAGGGAGGGGAGCACTACCCACTGGGGTCTGTTGGGGAGAAATAGGGGAGGGACGGTGGGGAGTGGGGAGCTGGGGAGAGATAGCAAGGGGAGAGATGCCAGATGTAGGGGATGGGGAGGAAGGCAGCAAATTACACTGCCACGTGTGTACCTATGCAACAATCTTGCATGTCCTTCACATGTACCCCAAAACCTAAAATGCAATAAAATAAATAAATGGGGGGAAAAAAAAAGAATCAACTGCATACTATCTACAATAAACCCACTTTAAATACAAAGATGCATGTAGATTAAAAGTAAAGGAATTGGAAAAAGATATATCAGGCTAACAAGAATCAAGAGAAAGTGGGAATAGTTCTATCAATTTCAGACAGAGCTGACTTCAGAGCAAGGAAAATCAGTAAGATATAGGGGCATTACATGATGATAAGGAGTCAATTTTCCAAGAAAACATATCCTTGTGTTTTGGGGCGCAAATATGGCTCATTACAGTCTCAACCTCCAAGGCTCAAACGATCCTCCTGCCTAAGCTTCCTTGTAGCTGAGACTACAGGCACACACCACCATGCCTGGCTAATTTTCTAATTTTTTGTAGAGATGAGGTCTCACCATGTTGCCTAGGTTAGAAAACAATCTTTAATGAACAACAGAGGATCAAAAAATACATGAGGCAAAAGCTGACAGAACTGCAAGGAGAAATAGATGAATCCTAATAATGTCCACCCTAAAGGAATCACAGAAGTAGCTGTGTTACTTCTGTGATTCCTTTAGGGTGGACATTATTATAGGTTAGAAACATCAACACCCCTCTCAGACAGACCTCGCAAGAGGAACATCAGTAAGGATCCCGTTGACAGCAACATGACCCTCAACCAACTGGTTATAAAGAACGTAGACCATTTACACTTTAGGTGATTATGAATATGACTGGGTTTGTATCTACCATCTTGCATCCTGTTTTCTATTTATTTTGCCTGCTCCTTGTTCCACTGTCTCTTTTTCTGCCTTCTTTTAGAATGTAATCTTAAAACTTATTAATAGGAAGTTTTGGCCAGGAACGGTGGCTATCGCCTGTAATCTCAGCACTTTGGGAAGCTGAGGCAGGCAGATCACGAGGTCAGGAGTTTGAGACCATCCTGGCCATGGTGAAACCCTGTCTCTACTAAAAATACAAAAATTAGCCAGGTGTGGTAGTGGGTGCCTGTAGCCCCAGCTACTCGGGAGGCTGAGGCAGGAGAATCACTTGAATCCGGGAGGAGGAGGATGTGGTGAGCGAGACTGCACCATTGCACTCCAGCCTGAGTGACAAGAGAAACTCTGTCTCAAAAACAAAAAAGTTTTAAGATTGCATTTTTATCCTCTTTGTTGGCCTAATAGCTGTAACTGTGTTACTTCTGTGATTCCTTTAGGGTGGATTTTTAGTGCACATCTTTAACTTAAACCAATCCACCTTCATATACTACACCATTTCAAATATGTAAGAACCACATAACTACATATTTCCATTTCTCCCCTCTCTGCCTTGGGCTATTATTATATATTTTACTTCTACATGTTGAAAACCATGATACATTATTGCTTTTGCTTTAAATAGTCAATTAGGTTTTAAAGACATCTAAATAAAAGGATATATGAAATCCTTTATGCATATAACCTACCTGGTTATCATTTCTAGTGTTCTTTCTCTGCATAGAAGCAGGTTTCCATCTGTTTCCATCTGTTACCATCTGTTACGCTTGAAGAACGTCCTTTAACAACTCTTATAAGGCAGGTCTACTGATTACATTCTTTCAGATTTTATGTCTGGAAAATCCTCCATTTTTAAACAGATATTTTCACTAGTCAAAGAATTCCAGGTTGGTAATGTCTCTTTCCATACTTTAAAAATGGTGTTTCCGTCTCTTACCTTGCATTATTTCCAACAAGAAAGCTGCTGTCTTTACCTTTCTTCCTCTCTTCCTCGCTTCTATAATTTCCTCTTATATTGCTAGATGAAATTTGACTGATACAGTTAATTGCATTTCTTGGGTCTCACTAGTTGTCATCAATTCAGCCATTATTTCCTCAAATATTTTTTTATACCTTCTTTCTCCAGGGACTCCAGTAACATACATATTTGGCTCCCAAAGTTGTTCCATAGTTCTCTGAAGCCCAATTTCTCCTACCATCTCTTCTTCAGCAGTCGTTTTCCTGTTTAAGTTGCTGTCTTCAAATTCTTTCATATCTTCTTCTGAGATGTCCAATCTGCTGTTAACTGCATCCACTGTTTTTCATCAGATACTATAGTTTCCATCTCTAGAGGTTCAATTTGTTTTGTATCTTCCATCCCTCTACTTAGTATGTTTTTCTCTCTAGCTTTTTGAATATATGGAATACAGTCATAATGCCTGCTTTAATGTTGTCTACTGATTCCTGGGTCAGTTTTGATGGACTTATTTTTCCCTTCACTATGAGTTTTATTTTCATGCTTCTTTGCATGCATAGTGATTTATTAGATGCCAAGTATTGTATATTTTACTTTATTAGGTATATTTTTTGTATTCCTATATTCTTGAGCTATGTTCTGGAACACAATTAAATTACCTGGAAACAGATGTGTTCGTTTGGTCTTTTTTTTAAGCTGAGTTGGGACCAGGGGTAGTTTTTATATAGAATTAATTTTTCTACTACTAGAGCACCTTAGTTTTCTTCCAATGCCACTTAGGTGACAAAGTTTCCCACTGCGGCTATTGAAAACAGGCACTATTTCCAGCTCTAAACACTGTTCCCTCTTATTCTTTTGGGTGAGTTTCCTCACAGGCATGCACTGTGTGTAATTGAGTATCTGATGGAAACTCTCTACAGATCTTAGTTCTCCTGCTGTGCAGCCCTCTCCTCAAAGGCATTCTCCCCTGGGAACTCTAACCACCTCGACTGCCCAACTGCACGTCAACTCCAGGAGACCGCCAGGTTCTGATGGGGTAACCCTTCCTGGAGCCATGGACTTTCTCCAGATATTAAGTACAGATAATTTTGTTTCCCCTCTCCAAAGGATGATTGTCCTTTGTTGCTTAAAGTTCATTGTCTTGGTATTTGTTAGGTATTTAAAAAAAGAAGTTAAACAAGACAGTTAACTTCTAGGAAATAACTACCTTACTCTAGCAAAATACCACAGGAAAGAAAAGAACCCCACCCTCACCGAATATAATAGGCTGAGAACTTTCACCATCCAGCCTAACACAGCCTTCTCCCTATGCTGTGGTGTCATCAGGGTGCTCCTCCTAATTCCAGCAGAAAAGTAGCAGCAGAGGTCTCGAGAAGAGCCACAGTAGGAAACCTGGATCTCCATCCTTACCAGGCAGTAATGAGGCTGTGCCCCACTGCACACCAGCACCGTCAGAGGAAGCATGCTGAGAGATGTAAGTAACTCCCAGTTTCATTGCGTAACAGTGAAGATGTCCAGGATACAGCCAAAGTCACTCATCATAACAAGAACCAGGAAATTGTAAACTTGAATGAGAAAAAACATCAAGGGATGTCAACACTAAGATGACACAGATGTTGAAACTTAATGACAATAATTTTTTTTTTTTTTTTTTTTTTACAAGTTCTCACTCTGCTGCCCAGGCTAGAGTGGTGTGAACAAGACTCACTGCAACTTCAGCCTCCTGTGATCAAATGATCCTCCCACTTCAGCCTCCTATGTAGCTGGGACTATAGGCACCATGCCTAGCTAACTTTTAAATTTACTTTTATTTTTTGTAGGGATGAGGTCTCACTTTGTTGCCCAGGCTGGTCTCAAACTCTTGAACTGAAATAGTTCTCCTGCCTCAGCCCTGCAAAGTGCTGGGATTACAGGCATGAGCCACCACACCCAACTGATGACAAGGATTTTAAAGCAGCCATCATAAAAATGCTTCAGTGAGCAATTATAAACTTTTGAAGCAATCAAAAAAAAAAGTCTCAGCAAATAGAAAACCTCAGCAAAGAAATAGGAGATATAAAAAAGAAATCAAATGGAAATTTTAATTAAAATATATGATGATAGCCACAGTTAAAGTACTGCATGGATGGTTCACGAGCAGAATGGAAAGGAAAGAGAAAATAACCAGTTATCCTGAAGATAAAACAACAGAAATTACCTAAACTGAGCAACGGAGAAAAAACAGACCAGAAAAAAAATAATAAAACAGAGTCTCCGGGACTCACTAGATGATAATAAAAGATTTAACATTTAGAAAAAAATAAACAGAGCTTCAGGGACTCACAGGACAATAATTAAAGGTTTAACATTTGTGTCATAACTGTCCCAGAAAGAGGATGCAAGTGGGGCAGAAAAACTATCCAAAGAAATAAAATATATACATACATATACATATATATATACACGCACACACATATATATGTTTATATATATAGTTATATATATATGTTTCCCAGAATGGGTAAAAACTTTTGTAAAGCATGTATCTCATAGGGGGCTTATATCTAGAAACTATAAGGAACTCAATAATAACAAAAAATAACTTTTTAAATGGGCGAAGGCTCTGAATAGACATTTCTCCAAAAAGCGCATACAAATGGCCAATAAGCACATGAAAAAATGTTCAACATCATCAGCCATCAGGGAAACACAAGTCAAAATTATAATGGTGTACAATTAATACACCATTTAAAATTCCCAACAGTAGCCTACAGGCTTCCATTTCCACTGTGGAAAACAGTTTGGCAGTTCAAGGTAGTCAAGTTACTTAACTGCTCTGTAAAATGAAGTTAACCACATTAACTTTGGACTAATGAGTTAATATATGTATTAGCTATAATTATTATAGCAATCATTATTGTGCATATTACTGATTGGGTCAGATTATTAGCCCTGTCTCCCTAACTCATTTACTTTTGCTACTTTGGATGAATATTTAAAATAGTCTTGAACTGAGATATACATGTAAAGATCCTATCACACTGGCATGTACCATGTGCTCAATAAACGAAAGCTATAATTATTTATTTCTCAACAGTTTGAAGATTAAACTTTCCTCAAAACAAACAAAAAACAAGGCAACACCCCAAGCTGTGAGGGGCTGAGTCTCTCCTAGGTGCAGGGCAGCACAGGCACTGGCTGCACAAGGCCAGAAAGGTTACGTGGCACCTCTCTTTAAATTAGACCACACAGAGCCTTTCATTCCCTGCGCAGTCTTCACGTCTTGCCAGTCCAGTTTGATGTCTGGAACTTCATCTTCTGGCTCCGGATCCTTACTCAATGCCCCCCGGGGGGAGGCAACCACAATGGGCAGAGGACCACATTCTTCCCGGATTTCCACAACATGGAGGCCCTTCTTATCAGCCAGCTGTTGATGGGTTTCCTAGGCCAGACCAAATTGACAACAGGTTAGGTCTGAAGTACATTTGCAACGTAAAGAGCAGGAACTTCCACAGGGAGAAGGACGCCAGCAGTACAGCCTAGGGGAATTCAAAGGCCATTTCAGTGGATTTGGGTTAATGTGTTTTGTGGCTAAACTCTGGTAACCTGTCATGTGTGGTGCCATTTCAGCCTCATCTGCCCACCCCAAACTGGGACAAAGGAAGGCCCTTGGCCACTGGTCCCTTGCCTTCTAAACCCTCCTGATTATGCACCATGCTATTCCAAACACTGAACTTGAATCTCACCAATCCCCTAGATCTAACTATCAATTTACAGTAAATATACAGGAGAGGACATTAAGGACCCCACAGGTGTTTTAGTCAGCAACAAACCAGGAAGCACTACGAAACAAACAAGCTGGATTCCTCAGCAAAAAAATCATAAGGGGCAGGGGGAAGACGAGGGGAACCTATTGAAAAGACATAGCAAAAACATACAATACATTGACCTGTTCTACAGCCTGTTTCAAACACTTTGTGTAAAAAGCATTTTTTTAATCTAACAAGTGGAATTTGTTCATTTGTTTGGACAAATGTTCATTAGTCCAAATGTTCATTTGTATGAACGCTGTTCAAATGTTCATTTGTATGAACACTGATAGGATATTTAACGATACAAGTTACTGTTAAATTTTTAGGTATGATAATAGTATTATAGGGTATTTTTAAATGCTTACCTTTTAGAAAATATATACTAAAATATTTAGGAGTAAAATAAAATGTCTGAGATTTGGCTGAAAATAACTGGGGGTGGTACTGAGAAGCAACTGGTCATGAGCTAGGTGACAGGGCCATAGGGATTCACTGTAGAGGGAGGCCACAGAGATCTGGAAGCAGGCAGATTAGTTCAGTAGACATTATTCACGGTACGACGACATACCTGATATGTCAATCCCATGATCCCAGGCCTTATGGCTGCCTTGCACTATTCTAATTCTATGTATGTTTGAAATTAGAAAAGAGATGAGCTGTTTCATAAACAAAATAAAATAATTTATATTGGTGTATCTTTCAATCAAAGGCATATCACCTAAATTGGTAACATCTTTTTCTTTTTGTGTAGCATATTTAATAATGCAACCTTTTATAGCTGATGGCATTTTAGGAGAGATGATATATGGTAATCATATCAGAAAGTTTAAAAGACTAACAGAAAACAAAAATATCACATAAAAGAACAAGTCTACTGGATCATAAATAAAACCTATCTAAAACCAACATCTTAATTAAACCTCTAATGTTTCAATTTAGAAGTGCTGTGAAAGATGTTTTAGGCAGTACCAACACACACAAAAAGCTGTTCAAAAACATCTTTTATCCAAAGCCTTCTTTTTCTTCTAATTTTCCTAGAGACGTGGAAAATTACTCCCTGGATCACTTTAACTAAAACTCACCACTGTACTCTTGAAGTGTCAGGAAGGCTGCCAAAGTCCTTACCTAACAGAGTTCAGCAAATGAAACCTACTGAACCTAATCTGCTCATCCATCTATGCTAAGGTCTACCCATTCTTTCAAGAGACAGGCCAGCCCTACTGGGCAAGCAGGACGGGTACCCAAGAATGGGGGACCAAGTGCAGTCACAACCCTCTCCTCCATGGTGGGTGACTGGAAGCTGGGCCCAGGATTCCCACCTATGAGGAATAGTAACCTGACAAGTTCATAGCTCCTTACCAACCCAGGCATCAGTCCAAACTACCTACACAGGTAACAGGAAGCTGACTGTGCTTGCCCTGAATGCAGAGGTGCCCTGAGTGCTTCACCCTAGCCCCGGCTGAAAGGACTAAATTAGGAAATGGACGTTCTCTTTTTATTTTACTTTCCCATACTTTCAGAGCTTTAGAACAACATGTGTTATTTTCATAGTAACACGTAGATTATAATTCCTGGCTTGAAATAACACTACTTAGAAAAACCATGAAGTACTTTTTAAAAGGTAATTTTCATGAACTTTTCAGTGAATTTAACTAAACTGATGCAGCCACAGACAGCAAAGAATGCCCAATTCCTAAGGTGCCCACAGGAAAGCATCTTCAGGAGGCCCCAGGGCACGGTAGTCCCAACACACACAACTGAAATACAAACTAAAACTTCTGTTTCAGACCCCGGGAGAAGGTTACCTGTCTGGAGAGCCCACGGAAGAGGCCCCGGGTGAGGTTGAGCATATTGAGGGACCCAGAGACCTTGGCATACATGTCTTTGATGCCAATGAGCCGGCAGATGGTAATGATGGCCCTGTGGCAGCGGAGGCCATAACCTAGAAATAGAGAAACCAGGTGAAACACAGCCCACTCGCCTGAAGTGGGCAGAGTCACCCTGCTGACTTTCACATGGCTTCAGGCTCAGGGCTTCGGGAAACTGGTTCATATTCTGGTATCACCACTTCCTAGTGAGTTGACCTTTGACAACTTACTTAACTTCTAAGATGACACTTACTTAAACAGGATACTACAAGGATTAAAAAGATGACATCTATAAATATCTTGAACACAGAGGGCAAAAAAACAGGACTGTTATTAAGATTAACAAAGATGCATGAAAATTCCTGGCACCCCAGACCCACGTTAACTAAGGACGGAGGGACACATCTCTTCTCACCCTCCTTGACTGTTCTGTTGCCCTGAGCAGAGGGTCCACTTCCTCCTCCTGGAGAAGCTCTTCTTTTCTTATGGTAACATATCCTTTCCCAGATTTCCTCCTAGCTACTGGCAAGTCGTTCCCTCCTTGCTGGCCTCCAAATCTTAGGGGGTCTCCCCTCCAGCCACTTGCCCTAGCCCTTTCCACCTGTAATCCCTTCTCCAGAGAGCTTTAAAAACACAAGCCAAACATGTTGCTCCCCATGTAATGACACCCCCCGCACTCACTGTTCTCGAGATTAAAATAAAGAACACCATGGCCTATACAGAGCCCTCTATGCCTGAGTCCTGCCCACCTCTGACCTCATCTAGAGACACACCACCTCCTGCTAGCATTACTGCCTTGAGGACTGCACTTGAGATTCCCTCTGCCTGAAATGTCCTCCCAGCTTCGCCCCCTTGGCTCCTTCTCACCTTCAAGGTCCCACTCAAATTGCTTCTCCTCAGACAGGCCTTCTATGACCATGCTACTCAAGATGGCATCCTTCCTTACACCTTCCTCCCTCCTACTCTAATACAGTACCCTAATTAGGGCACTCAACGAAACCTGTTTATCCAATGTTTCCCCTCAGTGGAAGATGGCTTCCATAGGGCCAGGATATTATTTGTTTACGACAGTGTCCCCAGAGCCTAGAGCAGTACCTGGCAAACGCAGGTGGAGTGAGTGAATGTGAAGGGGCCCAAGTGTGGCCTCTAACATTATTATTTGCCAAGCATGAAACTAAGCACACACCTCTTCTGCTCCAAGGTAGAAGATCTACTCTGGAAGTTGAACATTACTGTCTTTCTCGTTTGACTTTTTATGGTCAAGAACTATTCCTTCTACTTGAAAGGGCCAATGAACTGTGGCCTCCATAATTATGCTAAAGCATGCAAGAACTTAAGAGGATAGCTAAAGACAGGACACAATGGAGTCCTTTGTTCTTCCAATGTGGAGTTACTTACACGCAGAACATGTGCCCATGTGTGAATATAATGCACCCACGTCTGGATGAGCACAGGTGCACACACACACCTAGAGAGAGGTACATATGGAAGGGGGTATCATGCAGATTCCGGAAGGAGCTGAGAAGCAGCCTCTACCCTGCCACTGCTCTCTGGATTGACCCAGACAAGAAGGCTCCTCCATACAATACCTACTTAGGAGTGCTGCTGGTGAGCATCGAGGTGTGTAATACACAGTACCTGGACCAGCACAGATACAGCACAAATGCTGGCCACTGTGTCACACATACACAAACACCCACATGACAGTGGTTGTAGTCTTATGGTAATGATTTGACTACCTTCCAGGCAGAGACTATGTCAAAAAAAACACTTGTTTGATAAAACTTAACGTGTATATTTATGTGGCAAAGTTTTGCAGAGCTGTGTGTGGAACTGAATACTGTCCTATTGCCAACGTAGAAGTGTTCCATGGTTAAATAAGTTTGGAAACACACACTTTCCATTTCCCTTGGGAGATTCATAACCCATGGCAGTGCATTAAAGACTGCAACATTTACAAAGATGCACAAACAATTTTGGTGCCTTTCCTTAATCCTGTTCTGACATTTGGCATCCTTTCTGAAGTAACACCTATTCTACCTCCCACAGAACTAGCAACACATAGGAACATCATTTAGGAAATGCCTATTTGTACATGTATGTACAAAATGACTATAAATGTATACATATTTAGGAAATGTCTAAAAGTACTATAGGCTGTTTTAGCTTCAAAATCAGAATATTTAACCCCAATAAACAGGTAATGGTTTAGCTAATACAATACAGCTTTGATTAAAAGACAGGAAAGATTTTAAAAGGTAGCTTCTTCAATTAAATTAAAATTGAAGCAGTCATTCAAAAATCATCCAGATATAAAAATGTATCTAAACAACAGTGCCCAACATAAATATAATGCAAGCCACAAGCAGATGCATATACATAATTTTAAACATTCTCATAGATGCATTTTCTAAAGTTTTTTAAAAGTTTATTTAGTAATGTGTTTTATTAACCCAATATGTCCAAACATTATCATTTAAAAATGTTATCAATACAATAACATTTTTGAAATATTTCATATTCTTTTTTTGTACTAGGTCTTTGAATTCTGGTGTGTATTTGACAATTAGAGCACATCTCAATAGCCCCATGTGAAGTGCTCACTAGCCAGGCCGGCTAGTGGCTACTGTGTGGGACAGCACAGATCTAAACCTTGAAGTCCACTCAACACCTTTTCTAATGACAAAATATATGGTTTTTATCCAGCATTTAAATGGTTAATTATGGTTTTAAAGCAGAAGGCAAGTTCTGGTGCATTAACACAACTGATTCTGTATTTGAGGGCTATTTATTTCCAAGCCATAGCTCTAGCAAGGTTGTATTAGAAGCTCTGATAAGAAATTTTAAATATAATGTTTTACCTCTTCTGACTGAAACTTTTTGAGATTTATATACCAAAAGTTACATAAAATCATTCTTTATTGTAGAACTACAGGTGAAATGCAAATCAGAATGTTCAAGAATCCTACACTCAGAGACCACTAGGCATGCCTGCCCTAGCACATGACCCTGAATTCTGCCTGCCTGCCTTCTTGTCCACAAAACAGGAAAGTCTATCTCTGCATCATCCCTGGTGCCTAGCATAGCACCCAGCTCACAGAAGACATCCAATCAGAACTTGATGAGCAGTAAACACCTGGACCTGAATAAGTTAGAACAGAAATGTCTAAAAGCATCAATGAATTCCCTGTGAGGAACTAATATTCCCACTCCTCCAAACCCTACTCCACTCAGTTGCTATTTCCCATTTCCAATGAGCTCTCCCCACCATCAAGTATTCCTGGAACAAGCCTATGCTCACGGGAGCTGGTGTGCCTTGACTATTCTTTATTTCTCTGAGCCTCATCATTCTTAAATCTAATAGGAGTTCTTAATCAAGATGAATTCAACTAAAGAGGAGCAAAAATAGAGGAGAGGACAGAACTGTTATAATTTCTCTGCTTTATCATCAACAAACGGTAAGAGTTTTAAGGTTACCTTTGGGTTGTTTCTTCATCTTGATATGTGTCCTTCTATATCTTAATGAAATATCATGGAATACTGGAAGGTAAAAACATAAACACAGAAGGTTTAGGTGTGTGACTTTAATGTCTTTGCAAATATTGCAAAGCAATGTATAGCAGCCTCAACCGCCAGTGCATATTCACCAAGGATAAATGATAAGCTCTAATTTCATTCACTTTACTAACCTTCTTAGGAGATTGTTTTCATAATTCATGTATTTGTAAGAATATAATAAGAGAGAACACAAAGATATCTATAGAGATATATTGCCACACATACTTTAACAAATGTAATCCTGCAAATTAAAAAAAAATAGATTAACACTCACTTGTATGGTCTTCATATCGTTCTATATAATGCAAATAGTGAACTGCTCTGTTCTTTGCCTGAAAGAAGGAAAATGTTTTTCTTAAATCTGTTGAAATTTACATCTTTTCAAGGACTCCAAAAATACTTTTAATAAAATGTCCCATTATTAAAAATTCATTTATTAAAAAAGGTTAGTATATACCTCTAAAATATAAGGACTTATTTTTTAAAACACTTAACCACAGTATCACTATCACGCCTAAAAAAAAGGAACAATAATTCCTGGCCAAACGTGGTGGTTTACGTCTGTAATCCCAGCACCTTGGGAGGCTGAGGTAGGTAGATCACTTGAGGTCAGGAGTTCGAGACCAGCCTGACCAACATTGAAAAACCCCATCTCTACCAAAAATACAAAAATTAGCCAGGCATGGTGGGGGGGCACCTGTAATCCCAGCTACTTGGGAGGTGGAGACAGGAGAATTACTTGAACCCAGGGGACAGAGGTTGCGGTGAGTCAAGATCATGCCATTGCACTCCAGCCTGGGAAACAAGAGTGAGATACTATTTCAAAAAAAAAAAAAAAATTAACAAGAATTCCTTAGTATCTTCAAACACTCTATCAGTGTTGAAACTTCCACAGCTGTCTCCTAACTTGGCTAGGCAATTATAAATCTGATTAAATATGGTGTGAAGGAATGTAAGTACTTCTGAAACTGATTTTTATGCGCTAATTAACTCTTGACAGCAAGCCTCCTGGAAAGGTTCTGGCACAAATTATCTTTTTGTGGTTCCCACTGTGTCTAGCATATAGCTTACTTATCTTTTACTGAGTGTCAACCAAGAAAAGAATGTACATACTTTCCTGAAAGCATCCAACCGGTCAGCAGCTTTCCCAAGAGCAAAACCTTAAAAAAAAAAAAAAAAGGAAAACTAAGAAAAGAGACAAAAATTTGGCCCATATGGCTTTCGCCACATTTCAAGTTTCACCTCCTACAATATTTTCTGGCACTTTGTTTTTCCACCACCCACAAAAGACTTGCTATACAAAACCAATAACCAGCTGGGTGTGGTGATTCACACTCATAATCTCAGCACTTTAGGAGACTAAGGTGGGAGGATCACTTGGGTCCAGGAGTTTGAGACCAGCCTGAGCAACATAGCACGACTCTGTCTCTACTAAAAATAAAATTTAAAAAATTTGCCTGGCATGGTGGTGCCTGTCTGTGGTCCCAACTACTTGCGAGGCTGAGGTGGGAAGATTACTTGAGTTTGGGAGTTTGAGGGTACAGAGCTATGACTGTACTCCAGCAAGCAGCCTGGGCAATAGAGCAAGACCCTGTATCAAAACCAAAAAAAAACAAACAAAACAAAAAAAAAAACACTAACAAAACACGAAGCTACAGAGATCTGTTTTGAATTATTCTGGAAATAATAAATTTAGACGTATTTATAAAAGCCAAGGTTAGATGTGGCCTTTTAAAAATAGCTAGATAAAATACACTCAACTTTTAAAAAACTAAGTATGTTCTAAATTAATTAGGTAAATCACTTTGAACAGTTAGAGATAGATTAAAAGGGGCCAGGCATGGTGATTCATGCCTGTAATCCCAGCACTTTTGGAGGTCAAGATGAACAGATTTCTTGAGCTCAGGAGTTCAAGACGAGTCTGGGCAACATAGTGACACCCTGTCTCTACAAAAAATACAAAAATTAGCCAGGCATAGTGGTAGGTGTCTGTTATCCTTGCTGCTCAAGAGGCTGAGGTCGGGGCATCACTTAAGCTCAGGAGGTTGAGGCTGCAGTGAGCTGTGATGATGCGACTGCACTCCATCTGGGGTGACAGAGCAAGACCCTGTCTCAGGAAGGAAAAAAGCAAAACAAAACAGAACGGGTGGGAAAAAACATCCATTGCTATAAAGTAAAACCATGATTTCACTGGAATGTCAAATGGAATTCAGATTTTAATTAACCAGGAATCCAAATCAATGACTCTTTAGTTTACAAACTCTTAACTATGATATATCGTTTACCAGCAGTTACAGAGATGCTGCCATTATTTGCTGCCACTTGTATCTTGTTTTGAACAACACATTTTGTTTTTACATTATACAGGGAAAAATAACATAAGACAATACTGCTCTATACGATACATGGGACCTCTGAGACCTGGGACAAAAGAGGCTGTGAATGCCAATTCCCAGTTTAAACAAAACAAATAAAACCATGGAAGTTCTAGAGGAAAATATGGGGAAACTTATTAATATTTATAATCTTCAAACGATGCTTTCGAAGCAAGACAGAAACCCACTCATGATAAAAGACGGATACACTTGCCACAGAAAGGCTTAATTCTGTGTGGGGGAAAAAATTAAAACCTAAGTCAAAATATCTGACTGACAAAGGGCTAATGTCCTTAACTTACAAACAGCTTATACCAATCAGTAAGGAAAATAATAACCACCCAATAAAAATGGTCAAAGCACATAAATGTACAGATCTCAAAAAAAAAAAAAAAATGATGGCTAATAAACATGTAAAATGGTGTTCAAGCTCTCATACTTTAAAAAATACAAATAAAAACTGAAAAAGGTATTTTCATCTTTTCTCTCTAAGGGATGTCAGGGGCTTAACACAAGCTTTATGAACCCAAACCACTAAAAGGTTTAATCAGTGGAAAACGTCTGGCCAGCAGCATGATACTGTGGGCTTCACAGCATGGGCCCGTACCACACCTGTCCCTGCACACCACCGCCACTGAGGTGCCAACACTCCCCACTTACCTGCAGCTCCTCTTCCGTTCCCCACAGCCACCAGGACACGGATTGATTTCTTTCTTCCCTCTTTCGCTGTCATACTGAAAACATTTCTTACCTAAAAGGCAAAATGTCTCAGAAATATAGCACATTAAGAAAATCTGAAGGAGGCAACTGGAGGGATCTGCCTTTCTTGCAGGCATACATGGTGAACGGGCACACACAGAGAACATCCTCCAACTCCCGAGCACAAGAAGCAGACTTTCTCCAAACAAAACCTCCTCCTGGACTGTTTCAGGAAGAAAACAGAAACAAGACTTTCTCTTCATTTCACAGGGTTAGGAGAGGGTTCAACTGAGAAAACCTTTAAAGGAATTTGACATTATACATCTCGATATATCCTGTCTTAATGAATGTACCACAAGAAAGAAAAAAGTTGCGATCAAACTTTGATATAGTTTATCACTGATTGTAAGATGTATCCCCATGTCAGAGATGTTAAAATGTGAGGAAAACAATTCTTAGAAATTATGACATGCAGTATACAGACATAACCAGCACAGGACTGGCTCTCTATGCTAAGGATTAAGGTATTTGATTGTTTTGAGACAAGAGTTTCACTCTTGTTGCCCAGGCTGGAGTGCAATGGCATGATCTCAGCTCACTGCAATCTCTGCCTGCCAAGTTCAAGCAATTCTCCTGCCTCAGCCTCCCAAGTAGCTGGGGTTGTTTACAAGCATGTGCCACCACACCTGGCTAATTTTGTGTTTTTAGTAGAGACCGAGTTTCTCCATGTTGGCCAGGCTGGTCTTGAACTCCTGACCTCGTGATCTACCCACCTTAGCCTCCCATAGTGCTGGGATTACAGGTGTGAGCCACCGTGCCCGGCAGGATTAGCATATTTGGAAATATTTGGAAATACTTGCTTATTCTGAAATACAGGAAAATGTATATTTTTTCTGTGTATTTAAAAGGCCAAGAACTATGAACTGTTAACTAAACTGCTTACACAGCAGCTGGCTCTCTAGTACATAGCTGTCTCTTTCCCACAAAATGGGGTTAAAAGGAAAGGGAGCTTGAATCCACCCCCATGGATCTTATAGAAAATCACCCACATATATACGAATTCTTCAAAGAGATTAACTTTCAAAAGCTCTAAGTGGGAATACCAAAGACATAATATTGGTAAACATTTTAAATCCTACAATGCAATTGGTATGGAGGAAACAATACAGATATTAGGTGAGGCTCAATCACAAACTCAATAAATGATTATTCCACATGATATTAAACACTGAGCATTCAGTGCCAGCTCAAAGGGAAATTGACTATTTTAGAGAACGCTCTGGAAAGTGACTATAGTTTACTTGATACAGGCTTTAGTTTCAAAGGCCTGTGAGCAACCCAGTGACCATTTCCCCATCAAAAACCAGACATGCACCACAACTTTAAGCTTTCTACCCTGCCCCAGGGCTCCACCCAACCCCAGCTTCCTGCACTGAGTGCTAGATACAGCTGGTCTATAATTCAAAAATAGACTCCAATGCTACTTTAGTCTTAGGAAAGAGGAAATTTAAACCTCATCTACAAATCCTGTAGTTAACAATACCACCTTATCGTAAGACCTCAATCTGGTAGCACCCCCACAAAGAGTGCAGTAGTCAGAAGAGCCAGTATCAAGTAAATGAAATTAAAGTTGCATAATTTCCTTCCCCAGATCAGCTGTGTGTAAGAAATAGTCATGCCAAAGCATTCCCTCACAGTTCCTCTTGTTCTGTCCCTGCCCCACCCACCCCAACCTCTCCAAAGGCTTAACCAGGTATTTAATTCTACAAGCCTACCTCAAGTATTCTGGTATCAAAATCCTCGTATGTTTCTGCAGGAAGAAAAGAAACAGGCGTACAGATGAAATGTGTGCACACTAACACGAAAGCATTTTCAGCATGGGCACCATCATAGATCTTTGGTCCTACTCTCAAGGTCATGCCCCAGTCACAACTCATCACTAGAGACTGCTCCACCAGTTAAGTTCATAACCTCAGACAGTGATCTCCCCACCTGCACCCTCCTCCCCATCCATCTCTATCTCATCAGCTTCTGGCCCCTCCAGACCCTGGATCCCTGCTTTCCCTTTGCTTCCCTCTGTCTTCGCAGCCTCCCCCACTCAGCCAAGACACCATAGTCCATCATTTCCACCAGATCTTGTGAATGCCCTCAAATCCTTTACCCTTTGCTCTCTCCACACTAGCCAGACCTGCAGCTCTTGGCCACTCCTGACCTACTGGATGCCGCTAGAGAGAAGTCAAAGTATTCATATACAGGGGCCACTAAAAATTCATGGACTCCAATTCCATCAAGTCTTCCCTGCTGCCAGCTGGCCTTTTTGTCCTTTCAGTTAGGTCTCTCTCCACTTACCATTGCAGCCATTTCAAAGACTCTCTACGTTCTTTTTTTTTTTTTTTTTTTTTTTTTTTTTTTTTTTTTTTTTTTTTAACATTTTTGTCCCAGACAATTTCAATCAAACAAAAACAGAACAGCAGAACCAACAAAAGCTTACGTATGCATTAGTCAGCTCAACACACATCAACCCACAGCCAATCTTCTTTCCTCTAAACTCTGTTCAACCCTCACTCCACTGGCTAATTTCAAAGCCAGTTTCAGATACCCTACCTTTTCATAAATAACCTGGAGGCCATAATCATCAATGTCCCCACCTCACTCTCCGCAGATGATTCCACCTCTTCCTTACACACCAACTGCGGTCACATCACGCAACACCCTCCCCTATCTTTCCACTACAACCCCATAGGCTCACCTGATTCTCTGCCCTGCCCTTCCTTCTGTGAACAAGTGAAGCCATTTCTCTAGACTCTGGATCTGGGCTGTTGTGAGGGACTTGGTTCATTGACTTTGTCCTCTTCCTTCCATACCTTCCTCCTCCTGACTGAAGCATTTTGCTCAGTTCTAAGCATGTTCCCTGGAATTTCTCCATTTCAACCTCTCCCCTCCTCTTGACACCAAAGTTCTTAAGAAAGCAGTCAAACTCTCAGCTATTTCCTCTTCTCTCATTCATCGACAAGAACAGGCTTCTTGGATGATTTTTACTGGTTTACATAGTCAAAGAGGGAGCGGGAAACTTTGTTTTCAAATTTGGCCTAAGTATTTTCAATATTTGCTTCATGTGTTCTTTTATAGGATTAATGACAACTATCTGCTTTGCTGACTTCTAGTATGGAAATAGCATTCCCAGGCCATGCTGCTCCACAGGTACCCCTGTGGCCAACAGTTTTTGGGAAACACTGTAACCTGCAGGCAGCTCCTGCAGGTCTACAGTGCACAACCCCACATTTAAGGATCTGAGAAGGTACACAATAAACACCAGGAACCCAGTGCTTTCTATCCTGTTAGAATACTTCTGGATTCCACAAAATACATTTGGGATATTAATATATGTTATTTCAAAGATGCTGAAATCTTTTTTGGAAAAAGGCAATATAAAGACAAGTAATAATACCATTTCAAGGAAATTTTAAACAAGTACTCTCTCTGTCACAAAGGCAAACAAAACCAGGAGTCTGCTACCTCCATTAGGACCAGGGTCAGGGGGTCCAAGACTGATGCCTCCCCATGACCTTCCACTCCATCCTCGCTCCCGTTTAACCTTCATCTTCCTCCTTCGGTCCCACTCTTCCCTCTGCTGGATCATGTCTGCCTCCACCTTCTTCTGTTCTTCCTTGCTTCTTTGGGAAATGGTCTGCACTGCTCCATTTTTCATAAGAGGAACATTCAGACCAGGCCACAGAAAACCACAATGCCCTGAAGGTTTAAAAATATTATAAATAATAATTTTTTAAGTACCCATTTTCCAAGTGTTAAAAAGTCAAGCAATCCACGTACAGATAATGATGACACTGTTCACTGGAGCTTAAGCTAACATATTATCTTGGTAGATCACTTGGCACAATCAAAATTTTAAATGTACTTCATGGTATTACCTAAAGAAACACTCACATACAGGTACAAAGCATATGGATGATTAAACAAGGACGTCCACTGAAATATTATTTGTAAAAGCAAGAAATGCAAGTAGTCCAAATGTCCAGCAATCGTGGACTGGTTAAATGAACCACAGCATCTCCAACATATGAAACATTCTGCATTAAATCAAAAGAACAAGGTAGCTCTCCAGGTTCTGATGTGGATTGGTTTCCAAGACCTATTATTGAATAAAAAAAGTAAACTGTCAGACAACAAGTACCATGTGACATAATCTAAATTATTTTTTTAAAGAAGATATCTATTTCTTTTTAGGTATTTATCCATAATACCTTTAGTAATACCTTTTTAGGTATTTATGTATTAAAAAACTGAAGGAAAGACACCAATATGAGGCCAGTGGTTTCCCTGAGGGAGAGAGGACTGAAGAAGGTAGAAGAAGCATCCAGAGGGACTTTAGGTTTCTCTACAATCTTTACATTTTTTACTGAGAAAGTATACATACATGATTCTTATAATTTTAAAAAATAAGTGTTAAAAAAAATAAGATATAAGGTAAGAAATAAAGAAAAACATCCGAGTAGACATGTGATGCTGGAAGTGTGGTACCAGGTGTTTTCTTTATTCCTGAAAGGCCATTACTATCAAAGATGGTTTGTCAGCAAGCACAGTACAAGACGGGCTGACTGAAGTACACTACACTATTTTTACTCTTCCAAAATCATGAGTATAAACAATCATGTGTTCTAGGTGTCAACAAATTAAGGCCTACAGGCCAACTAAGCCCACCACTTGTTTTTGTAAAAGAAGTTTTACTGGAACATAGTGATGCCTATTTCACTGTGCTGTCTGTGGCTGTTTGTTGAAAAATTGGATGCTATACAGATATAAAGCATTTAAAAGTATTAAAAACCTAAAACATTTCTACAACAGCAGAGTTGAGCAGCTGCAAAACAGACTATGTAACTCACAAGGCCAAAAACATTTACTGTCTTCCCTTTCCAGGCAATATTTGCCAACTCTCCATTTATTCTCTCTTTTACCACTAATCATAACCTCTTTGAGGGCACACACTGTTATAGGATATGACACACAGGGATATTTAATGCTTGCTGAATGAATAAATCCATTTCTATGGGATTTTCCTCCCCCAGAATCCTGGAAATGAGTAGTAAGTCATCTGGTTGAATTCTAAAACCACAGATTCTAGTGCCCTTCATGAGAAATGTTTTGATGCTTCTTGTTTGTAAAATATCTTTAAAATCTGGGGTAAAAAACTTTAAAAAGCACTTTAGTTGTTTTTATAAATAAGTTTACCTTCACCAATGATCTGACCCCTGTTCAAATCCTTTCTTTTCTTCTTTTTAGTTCTTTTGCCTCTTCCTTTTCTTGTTCCAGCACCAGTCTCTGCTAAAGCACCTTTCCACAGCTCACCTGCAGTCACTGTAATGAAACAGGGTTTTTGTTTTTGTTTTTGTTTTAATTCTGTAGTTTTCAAGCAATGGTCTATGCTCTCCTATTGAATAATAAGGGAAGTAGAGATCAGCTTATAGTTTTACCCATATATCACTGAGGTAATGAAAGCAAAATTAAATCATTCTTTGCACATATCAGATGGTTACATTTGGAAAGCCCAAGAAGAGACAATTCTATTACTTTCCTCCACAAAACTCTCACTATTTGATTTTTCCCTCTAACTGCTTAAAAGCCAGCATTTAAATCTCAGTTACTTACCAATAAGTTTTTTTCCCTGATATTTTATCAACCATGATGTAGGCCTCCTCCCTGTCCTCTTGTCTCTATTATAAGCAGTAAAATAACTAATAACTATCCTTCCTCAATATAAGTTTCCTAGTCCAAACATGAATCAACATTTCAATCTGAACCCATAAATCTGGACCACAATCTATAGTTATAAAATCAACTGTTGACCAGGCACATTCCTATAATCCCAGAACTGTGGGAGGCTAAGGCAGGAGGGTCACCTGAGCCCAGAGTGTGAGTCCAGACTGGACAACATAGTGAGACACTATCTCTACTAAAAATTCAAATATTAGCCAGGTATGGTGGCATGTGCCCATGGTCCCAGCTACTTGAGAGGCTGAGGTGGGAGGGTTGCTTGACCCCAGGAGTTTGAGATTACTATAATTATGCCACTGTACTCCAGCCTTGGAGACAGAGTCTCAAAAAAAAAAAAAAAAGAAAAAGACAGCAAGTCATTAGTCAACCTTTGAATACCATTATGCTATTAAAAATGTTTTTAATCCTTTTTCAAATTATAAAAGTTATTTTTTTTTAATCTGGAAAATACAGAATGTAATAATCATAATCCCATTACCACTGTTAGATAAGAATGTACATTCTGCCTTTTTCTTTATACATGTATGCATAGTATATATTGGTTTGTGACTCTTTTCCCATATTCTTAAATATTATTTATGATCATAATGTTCTGTAATGGCTGTAAGGTGAATTAAGTTCTTTTAATAGAGATTTTACTATTTTTACAACAGGTCTAAGATTCTAAATAACCTAAAAGGCTAGTTAGAATACATCTACTCTCATTTCAATCCTGTCATTTTCCGGAAGGGCGAAGCTACGTTAACATATACACCTATTAACTATCATAGTTATAAAAGATAAAGTTCATGTTTTATATATACACACATCTAAATAAATCCACTGTAGTATCTAATTTTATACACCAAGTTACTTCTCTCTTAAATCATGCTAAGTAATAGAGCTTGCTAATTTGAATCAAAGGGGTTTAAACAGTGGATCCTCTACAGAAAAGGATAGGTTTGCAAGTACAAGGTTCAGTATTCGTAGGAAATCTTAACGAGTTTTGAAAAAGTGTGTCTTATTTCCTGGAGATTCAGAAAATCAAAGACTATTTCCTACTGAAACAGCAAAAACTAGCCACATGCTAGTTTCAACTGAGTTGGCCTCACTGGAGTGAATCTTACTATTACTTGGAGCCATAAACCCACAAAAGTACTGAGTCTTGTAACTGAGGAGGAACACCGGTGAATGAAGAGGGTCCGAGGCAGGGGTAGAACAACCATGAAGGATGAGGTCTCAGAGGGTAAGGCCACCTCTAGAACAAGGCTTTTTAGAACAGAAAAAGGCTATTGAAAAATAAAAATTCCCAAGGCTTGTAAATCTGATACACCCACTATAAGTCAACTCTTAGAAAAAACTGGGGCTACGGATACCAAGGGGAGAGACTAACAGCCCCAACTCTACCCATCTCTCTTTTCTCTGTACTGAAATCTGCAAGTTCAGCTAAGCCTATGTTGCTTAATCCCCCACCAAGACTTTTCTGTGTTGTTGCTTCACAAATGACCTAGTTATCAGGAGATTTCCAAATTAAATCGAGCTGTATCTATACAATGAAATATTCTATGGTCGTAAGACTGCACTGCAGAAGTCCATTGAAAAATGTATTACTACATGAAAAAAAACAGCAAACTCAGTATTTCAGGGTAGTAGGAATACAGATGACTATCTCCTTTTTTTTTTCTGCATTTACCAAATATTCTAAACTAATAATGAACGGCCTTTGTATTACTAATTTCTTTTAACCTGCCTAATGCTGAGTTGTGAATTCAATCTCCATTTATTTACTTATTTAGGAGATGGAGTTTCCCTCTTGTTGCTCAGGCTGGAATGCAATGGCATGGTCACCTTAGCCTACCGAGCATCTGGGACTACAGGCACGTGCCAACATGCCCAGCTAATTTTTGTATTTTTAGTAGAGACAGGGTTTCACTAAATTGGTCAGGCCGGTCTTGAACTCCTGAGCTCATGATCCACCGGCCTCCCAAAGTGCTGGGATTACAGGCATGAGCCACTGCGCCTGGCCTTCAATCTCCGTTTATTACCTGACAAGCTAGTCCCAGTTTAGATTAGATTCTTTCAAATGCTATCACAAATAAGAGTAGTGTTAATGAATAAATCTCCTTAAAACTAACTTTTCCCAATTAGATGTCCTATCTCCTCAACTAAGGCACAAATGAAAACATGAATATATTCTTGGTGTGAATCTAAGTCAGCAAGGGATATTGGCCATGATTCAATATTTTTCAGGCCTCCAGTGCCCCAAACGAGGGGACTAAAGCAAACTAGAACTCCCCAAAATACAAGTGGTAGCATGTAAGATAATTCTAGGAGGTACATCAAGGAACATTTTCATTTTAACAGTACATTCTAATCATTAAAATCTTAATTCATGTAAAAAAGATGAAAAATTCAGATACAAGAAATCCTTTTCCTGTTTCAAGAAACAGGAAGTTTTTGGCCACTCTACATACATTTAGTGAAGAAACTATATGGTCTATACTGCTGGCCCATCAGGTGACTGGAAGAAGAAACACGGCATTGTGTCTGCAGCGCACGGCTCAAGCTGGCGTAAGGATGGGTGTCTCTGGTTCCCAGTGATGACAAAGGGCCTGTAGGCAGATGGATTAAACTTTGAGTTAGATGCTTCACGGCTGTGGAAAAACACTGCTAGCATCAAATTATCATTACTAACAAAAATAAGTCACTAAAATCCTGAACTTCTAAGAATCAGATTTTTAGGACAGTCTTCCTTTTAAAAATAAAACAAAACAAAACTTTTGACCAATAACAACCTAAATGCCCATCCTAACTGGGAAAGTTATAGTTCATCCACACAATGGGCACAATGTGTAAAGAAAGATTTGTCCATACCAGGGTTTCTGCACTGCACTCCATAACCTAGGTGGGCAGTCTACCCAGGGCGATTGGCGCCCTCTGCTGTATGCAGCCAGCAACATACTGCGGTGGAAAGACCTGCAACTGGCCTGGTCAGAAGAGCAAGGTGCAGGAGAGCATGTACACTATCCTACCCTTCATGTCAAAAAACAAGGAGCGGCCATTAATGCACTTCATAGACTAACCCAGAATTATGCAGGAACCTGGAAACAACAGTTGCCTCTGGGGAAGAAATATGATACATTTAAAACTGGATATGAGGGACTTGCTTTTTTTGTATTTTTTGGAATTGTTATCACGAAATGCACATATTACTTAAAAAGTTTTTAAACATCTATGTCTTAGTGGCAGCATCTATTCAATTCATGGAGGGTAAAGTCCTGTGAAGGAAGAGGGGAGGGTGAGAATTGGTGGATGTGAAGAAATGGGAACAATGCTAACACATAAGAGTGCACACGCCCTTAAGCTTTGCATTTTAATAGAGACACTAGTGACTACAAGAGAAGTGATAAAGGAAATTAGAACAGCCCTAGAGAAAAGAAAACAAAGTTATTTAAGGGCATGGGCTTGAAAAACAGAAAACCAAAAACAGTGACAACAGCTATTTTCAAGTCTACATGAAGTGATGAAGAAGATGGTAACAGCTGTTTTACGGCCACAGAGGGCCACACACAAGCAATGATCTTACACGGCAATAACAAGTAGTATTAAATGGTTACAGTAAGCTATCGAAATATCTCCATTGCATATAGACACCGAAAAATAAAGGAACAATCTCCTTTTAATTAAATTAGATGATCTTTGAATGATTTTAGATGATCTTTAAAATCATTTAAATATCAAAATTTAATTAAAAGGAGGTTATTCCTATCTTAATTAATTTAAATGATCTAACTAAACTAGATCATTTAATCCAACTCCTTCATTTCACAAAATAAACTTAGGTCTATGAGGTTAGGGAGTTGCTGAAAGTCACAAGACTAGTTAGTAGGTGGGATTTAAACATTAATTCCAATTTCAGATGACTTACTAAACTGCACAGAGGTAGACAGATGACATCCTGAAGTCCCTCTCGACCTATTAGCTCACTTAATGAATTAGTAAATAAAAAGCAGATGGGAAACACTGGCTTTTCATTTTTAAACTCAGGACTTCATCATTCCAAATCTCATCTCATGAAGCATACACTTTAGTTTTAGGTTTCCTTGTATGCTCTTTTTCTTTTCTTTTCTTTTCTTTTTTTGGCGATGGAGTTCTGCTCTCGTCACTCAGGCTGGAGTACAATGGCCATGATCTCGGCTCACTACAACCTCCACCTCCCAGGTTCAAGTGATTCTTCTGCCTCAGCCTCCTGAGTAGCTGGGATTACAGGCACCACCACCATACCCAGCTAATTTTCATATTTTTAGTAGACACAGAGTTTCACCATGTTGGCCAAGCTGGTCTTGAACTCCTGACCTTATGTGATCTGCCTGCCTCGGCCTCCCAAAGTGCTGGGATTACAGGCGTAAGCCACCACACCTGGCCAACTCTTTTTCAACAAAATATCTTACTTAATATTAGGTTACTTACATTAACATTAAAGAAGATATTTAATCTTGTACTATTTAGTACTGCAATCTCGGATATACTTCAAAAAGTGTAAAATTGTTACTAACAAATTTAGAATTCTTTAACCTTTTTTGAAAGCCTGAAATATTTCTCCTATCTAATAATGTACCTAAAAACGTCCAATTGTCAAAAGCAGAAAGAAATTGACTTTAGAGTTGAGAAACAGTCACTTATAATACAGTTACAACCGACTTTGCTTAAAATGTGTTATAATTTTTAAAACAGGGGATGTCATCAGCTTATGCTAAATCACTCAGTTATAGATTATCCATCAATGATCAATTATCAGTTTTGCTCTCGTTCTCTGAATTATTATTAATTTCAGTCCATGAACTCCCCATCTCCGGAAACAGTTGCCCTGGAGTCCAAAATGCACCAAGCCCAAAAAGCACCCTCGTGTGGGTCAAGTCAAAGACCCACAGAGTCCTTTGGGAGGCCAAGGTGGGTAGATCACTTGAGGTCAGGAGTTCGAGACCATCCTGGCCAACATAGTGAAACCCTGTCCCTACCAAAAATACAAAAATTACCTGGGCGTGGTGGTACATGCCTGTAATCCCAGCACTTCAGGAGGCCAAGGCGGGCGGATCACTTGAGGTCAGGAGTTCTAACCATCCTAGCCAACATGGTAAATCCTGTCTCTACTGAAAATACAAAAATTAGCCAGGCACGGTGGCACACGCCTGTAGTCCAAGCTACTCAGGAGGCTGAAGCAGAAGAATCACTTGAACCCCAGAAACAGAGGTTGCAGTGAGCCGAGATCATGCCATTGCACTCCAGCCTGGGTAACAGAGCAAGACTCTCAAAAACAAACACCACACAGAGTCTAATCTCGAGGGTTTTTTGTTTCAGCATTTACAGTTTTCACCATGATGAACTTCTTCCTCCTAATTTAAATCTTATCTATTACATCAAACCAGCTGATCAATGATGTGTTTGAGAGATTTTAGAAAACTATTGCTATTTGTCTGACCCATCTACTGCAGCACTTACAAAAATATAGTAATAGGTACTAAGGAAACTGTTACAGGAAAAAGAATGTAATAATAGAATTCTACCTAATTCAGCTATAAGTATATACAAACTTAATAATAAAAACACTGATCAGAGATCAATCAAAAGTGTGCTTATAACCATGTTGGAGAAAGCAGGGAAAATGAAGAGTTAAATTCTCAATTAACATAACAATGTTGACAAAGAATATCTACAACATAATTTATAAATATAACCAGAGAAAACTGAAATAATTAAAAAGTGTCACTGGCAATGAGAAGGAGTAGGAAAGAGATTGGTTTTAAAATATAATCCTTTTAGTACCTTTTTGGAAGTTCAACATTTTAAGAAATAATACAACAGTTCAAAGTAGAAATTACTATCCCTATTTTATGGATGAGGAAACCAGGGCTCCCAGGGTCACATTTGCACCTGGCTGCAAAGGATAGGAAGTGGTGGAGCAGAGAACTCTGCTTTCACTCCAACAGTCAGCCTCTTCCCCACCGAGGGCCTTGCCAGGGTCTGTCCCCATGGCCATAAACGCGCTGCTCTACTTTCCTCACAGAAGCCCTCTCTAGGCCCACATTAGCTCAGGCTGGGGACCCTGCCTGGCTCACAGTAATAGAGGAAGCATCTTGTGAGTGAGTGAGTGAGTGAATGAATCAATCAACCAACAAGTGAACAGACAAAGCGAAGAGCCCAGGTCTGCTAAGCTCCTCTCCAGGACCTCTCAACCGAGGTATAAAGGCATCTCACAGGTGAAGTTAACAAGAGGAAAGGGAACAAGAGTAAAAGCCAAGCCTAGCAATTGAGAGTTCCCAGAACTCAAGGGGACAACAAGATTTCAATTCTGTCCTAACTATAGTCCATGTAAAAAAAGCAGGATTTAACAGATCGCAAGTACAATGGGCTCAGCATGGGTTGGCTTCCTTCCTTCCTAGAGAGTGAATGAAGAGAGGGCCCTGTCCTATGGCAGTGAAAGGCAGTGAAGGCCTGGTGCTACAGTATGAGAAAGCATCACAGTCTCCAGACAGCTCAGGTCCCAATCCTGCCAGGTACTGGCTGTGTGTTCCTAACAAGTCACTTAGCCTCTCAGAGACTCACTTCATTGTCTATAAAATAGGAATCATAACTACCTCATAAAAACTGGTGTGAGGATTAATCAAGATAATAGCTCTAAGTCTAATACACAGAAACAACCCAGTAATTATTATTTAGTTATTATTTTTTAAAGTGTGGAATCATAACAATTGCAATCGTTAAGAAATCTGAAAATATTCTTCAGATCCTATGTATTTCTATCATAAAGAATGTGATTATTGCAGTAAGGCTAACCAGGCTAAAAAATGAAAAAAGAAGAGAGAAGAGAAAAAAGCAGGTGATTATTTACATTTTTTAAAACTATAGAAAATACTCCAACATTACATTTTATGAGAAAAGGTAGTAGCATTAATGAATCTCACCGTTGCTGAGAGCAGTCTTCCATGCCAAAACGGAAGCTGTTGGTAAGGTGCTTAGGGAAAGCTGTCTCCCCAATAAATGACCTGCAAATTTAAAAAAAAAAAAAAAAAAAAGAAGATACATTTCTACATGAAAAGGAACATTTTAAACAGTAACACCCACAAAATATATCTATAGAATAAAGAATCAAGACAAGGGAAGAAGTAATTTCTGGGCTCCAGGACAGCTTGTCAAGTAGCTGACATCATACCTCATCTTCTCCCTTCAACCTCACAGCCAACTAGTTACCAAGCCCTTCAGTTTCCTCAAAAGTCAATCCACCTGCCAGCTGTACCTTTTCCTGTGGCCTCAATGACTCTTATTTGCTCAGGTTTCATCATCACTCAGCCACAGAGTAACAACAGTTTCCTAGTAGGTTTCCTGCTTTCAATTTCTCCCCCTCTGCTTCATGGCTTTTCTAAAACAGGTCTGTCACTTCACAGCTCTGACAGATTATTCTCTGGTTCCCTACTACCTTCAGAACAAAGTCAAAACTCAGCATAGCCTACAGGCCTGCCACATGGCCCTAAACTTCCACACCAGCCTGCTGCCCCACCTCTTTCTCCTCCATCCTCCCTCTGGCCATGCCAAACTTATAGTCAGTTGTGAACCCACTGTGCTCTTGCATACTTCTGTGTCTCTGCAAGGTTCTCTGTCTGAAGTATCACGTCTTAGTGAAGGCTCCCTGATTCTGCAGTGTTCCCGCTTTCCTCTGGAACCCCCACAGCATCAGGCTGACTGTACTGTGTGCCCCCTCACACACTGTGGTACTCCAGAACAGGCTCCAACAAAGCATTTATGGCAAATGATTTTTGACAAAAGTGTCAAGACCATTCAATGAGGAAAGAATCATGTTTTCAAGAAGTGGTGCTGGGACAACTGTATATCAACATATAAAAGAATGAAGTTGGCACCCTGTCTCACATCATATATAAAAATTAATTCAGGCCGGGCGCAGTGGCTCAGGCCGGTAATCCCAGCACTTTGGGAGGCTGAGGCGGATGGATCATGAGGTCAAGATATCAAGACTATTCTGTCCAACATGGTGAAACCCCATCTCTACTAAAAACACAAAAAATTAGCAGGGTGTGGTGGTGCACGCCTGCAGTCCCAACTACTCGGGAGGCTGAGACAGGAGGATTGCTTGACCCTGGGAGGCAGAGGTTGCAGTGAGCTGAGACTACACCACTGCACTCCAGCCTGGCAACAAAGCGAGACTCCGTCTCAAAAAAA